CCCAGTGCCTCAGCTCTCACCACTAGCCCACACTGCCTCCCTCTCTCTCTCTCCCAGTGCCTCAGCTCTCACCACTAGTCCACACTGCCTCCCTCCCTCTCTCTCTCTCCCAGTGCCTCAGCTCTAACCACTACAGGAGATAGGATCAGGGCTGAAACTGTTTCAGTTTTCTGGCTTACATATCACATCCTATTAAAAGCTGCTCTCACTGGCTCATAGATGATGTTATCCGCGTTGGGCAGCTTTTGTAATACTGGAGCCAGTGACTTGTGTACCCACTGTGCAAGTAGAAGCTATATGAATCCAGACTAACCTCACTACCTACATTTGCATAATAATTAGGAAATGATGTAAGTGCATCACAGTTCCAGTCTATTCCAAGAAGTATTCTGGATCTTTCTGTTCTTACACACCACGCAAATTTGGAATTTCGTGGTGTTTTGAAGACTTGGCTGTACAGTACTGCAAGTCCTGCCCCTGCTCCGGGAAAGGAAGTGACACGCACGAGAGATGATCACGTGACACCCGTGAGCTCCACAGCGCCTGTCGGGCGAGTGCGTGCTGATTGGAGGATCGCCTTCTGACGTCGCGGCAAGCCGGGGGGGCTTCTGGGAATTTCTCAGTGTCCCCCACCCCAATTGATTCGCCTCAACCCGGCAGTGCTTGGGGAATACGTGCCAGTGACATGACCCAGGTTCGAACCCGAGACATCTGGGCTGTAACACTCAACGGTACCCTGCAGGAGCCCATAATAACGTCGTATTAGTAACGTCTTGAATGTGTTCTCTTATGAAAAGGTTCATTTTCTTACATCTGCTCCTGAGCCAAAAGGCTTTGAAAAGCCGTACAGATTGCAGGTATCTTGAAACACAGAAACGCCAATGCCGGGACGTTTCTACGATCTCTGTGTTGTGGTGTTAATACAGGCCTCCCCCGCCTCGCTCAGCGTTCCTTCAGAGAGGACAGGAGAAGCTATGGGCAAGTTGCGACAAGTCACTGAACA